CAAACCACACGCCTGTGTGTTCTACACATTCTCTATCTATACATGGGTGAAAAGTAAATATTGGTCATTAGCACTTTTTCAACAGAGTGTCTTCGTTCATATGAAGGGTTGTGTGAGAATAGCCACGGTAACAGCTGCACTCACAGAGTTACCCCCCTTTGACCGCTCGTCTTAGATGTGTTGTGGCATATGCGTTGTGGCATATGGTTTCCACGACATGTTCAACATGACAAGGGCGGTATTTCAAAGCAACTAATGATTGTCCCCCTGAGAGGGTATGTAAGACCACGTCTTTCAACGTATATTTATTTCTACCACGTTTTTAATCGTAGCATATGTGTTGTTTTAATGTTTGCTAAATTTGTCAATAATCGCCAACAGCTGAAGGGATGAGGGGTAAATCCGGCTGGGGTCCATGCAGATAGCAAAAGTACTGTAAGTCCCCATGGACCCTAGCATGGTGATCTCTCTTCAGTGGCTGGCGATCAAGAGCTCATTTTTATCTTGTATGGTATCGTATGATGTTATATTTGTATGGCTATCTACTAGTTTTAAATATATTCTGTGATAAATCTAGTTATTTTACTGTCCATCATTGACAGGTTTTTATTCATTCTAAATATATGTATTATTAATGTACTTCTCGTCACGATATGGCTGAAATATTGCCGATGTGACGTTAAACATTAACTCACACTCACTCAAAGCAACTGTTACAGAATTTTCATACGAAGAATGAAACCATTTATCACCAAAACGTGTTTTCACAGGAGATCACTATTCTCTTTGACCCTGAAGGTGGCTGCTACTGCACATTTTTGGACACGGCTTACTATTGTTTAGTGGCCTTCGATATCAAATGTTGCAACACGTTGCAGTAAAAGTTTAACATTCATCGGCAGGCCTAGGAGTTTTAAACTGCGCAACGGTTGCGTCATTATAGTATGTGTGAGTGTGTGTGTGCATGTGTTTGTGTGTGTGTGTGTTTGTGTGTATGTGTGTGTGTATGTGTGCGTGCGTTCGTGCGTGTGTCTGTGTTTGTGTGTCTGTGTCTGTGTGTATGTGTGTGTGTGTGTGTGTGTGTTATTATTATTATTATAAAGTACATTCATCACACCTCCTCACGCTTATGTTTAGCTAACTATTATCAATAACAACATTTTTCCCCCATTTGGCTAACTTTTTAACTGCATTGAAAAAAATAACCAATTACTAACGAACGGTTTACGTTGTCAAGAAGTCACCTTATAAGACCAATATACATATTAAACGGGCACTGCAATTCGCCTGGACTGGTTGTTGCCTCTGTAATTGTCTTTTTTCATTGAGTACCCGGGTGATATCCCGGAAATCTCGGCTAGTTCGCGACATGTGCTGTGCCAACCATAAGCGCATTTGTCGCTTTTATTGATAGTATAAGGGCGTATCGTCACATTGATCAGCAAAATGAAAAACAGTTTTGTCTTCGAAATAATAAGGAAATGTAGGTATCTTTGGGGGTAGAATCGGTAATGGTTACGAAGTTGAAATAAGTCACTTGTTTGGTATTGTGCAATTTTCGTTTAGACTATTTTAACATGTAACACAAACTAAACATTTAACCTGAGCATTGCTTACTTTATCGTGTGTATCTGTTACAGTCAATGTGTAAAATTACTTTTCACTTAGGCAATTTATTAAACGCCTAAATATCAAGTTATCTTACAAATAGACTGAAACATCTGTCCATTCATTTATTATGATTTCCAGACATGTTGATGTTTAATTTCATCATCCAGTGACTGAAAATGATAAGATTAAAAGAGAAGAAGTCCATTTCCATATTGTTTGGCTTCTCATACTAGCATAGTTAGTTTATTGTAATGTTTTAAGCTTCTTTGAACATCTTAATAGTTGTCAGTCAATCTGTTAAATAAAAGGACAGATTCCGAAGACAATTTGTAAATGACTGTACTATTTAGACATTTTTAAAAAGTGCCAGAGTGAACTACACTTCACACATTGACTAACATATACACCTACAAACCGAAAGGCTTAGTCTTGTCTGTTGCGCATCGAAATGCTTCCAAGCGAAAACGTCGAGGAACATGAATGATTCTGTTCAGTGCTAAAGCAAATCAATGAAAACAAAATGCAAAAATTGTAATTAGAACCGACCAACGTTATATGTTTAAGAAAGAACATTTGCTCAACCCCAAGTGTAGTGCAATAAAGTATAGTTTTACTCTTAACTCTAGTTAAAGCACGAGGTCACTTATAAAAGCCTTAATTGTCAAACGTATGTGCCATCTGTCAGACAAATAACTATTTTGACCCCTTGTTATCGTGTTGTCCAGCAAGTCGTTCCACAACAAACAATTCACCCTATTTCAAGTGTAGCACTTGTGTGAACTTACGCACCTGTCTAACAATATGGCAACTAATTTTTGCGCATAACTTATTTAAATTATTCAAACTATCCCCTTCCTATTGCAGGTGTCAATGATGAGAGACAATTATATCACAACTATTATGTGTAATAGTTGAGAATAGAAACCTGGAAATAAAACAGTTGAACCAGACATGATTCTCTCTCTCTCTCTCTCTCTCTCTCTCTCTCTCTCTCTCTCTCTCTCTCTCTCTCTCTCTCTCTCTCTCTCTCTTCAAAAAAAGAGGGACGATCGGGTAGCCTAGTGGTTAAAGCGTTCGCTCGTCACACCGAAGGCCTGGGTTCGATTCTCGACATGGGTACAATGTGTGAAGCCCATTGCTGGTGTCCCCCGCCGTGATATTGCTGGAATATTGCTAAAAGCGGCATAAAATCTTTCTCACTCAAAAAAAGAAACGCACATGTAGATGTTTAGTAAATTTATTGTACTTATAAATAAAGTTGATATATTTGATTTAATATCATAGATACAAATAGGAAATGTTGGCGCTCGTTAGTCGCATGTTGTCGCTGTACAAAGGCATTGTCATATCACATAAGTCCATAAGTTTGAACTCAGTTTCACGTGTAACCGCCCCGGGCAGCAATGAAGGCTCTGCATCTCCTCGGCACTGACTGGATACGTGTACGAATTCTGTCCAGCGAAATTCTGCGCCATTCTGCTAGGAACGCGTTGACCAGTTGTGGGAGCGTCTGTGACATCCCACGTGCACAGGTGTTCTATTTGGTTGAGACCTGGAGATCTCGACGGCCAGGGCAAGCCGTTGATGTATGCATTATGAAGGTAGCCTACCGTGTCATGAGCTGTTTGCGGTGGAGCGCTGTCCTGTTGAAACCTTCCCCTCTAGTGGTCAATGATGGGAAGAAGGTGAGGTTGAAGAATTTGAATCAAGTAGCGATTTGCTGTCAAATTTCCCTGAACCACAACCAAGTCAGATCTCGTGGTGTAGGATTTAGCCCCCTCACCATGACACTACTGCTAGAGTGAGTATGGCTTTACGCCGCTTTTAACAATATTCCAGCAATATCACGGCGGGGAACACCAGAAATGGGCTTCACACATTGTACCCATGTCGGGATTCGAGCCCGGGTGTTCGGCGTGATGAGCGAACGCTTCATCCACTAGGCTACCCGACCGCCCCTATATTTCTGGAAAATGGAACATTAGACAGTGACCTTCTTGATAAACATAATAATATGTACATACTGGTATATCGACTTAATAAGTTTCATTAATTCACCGGTTGAAAAAGTTAAACAATGAAAGTAACTGAAGCGTATTTGAAATTTCAGAATTTACTCGGTATTCAGAGGACGTACTCTATGCATGCGCATTTATAAACAGTCATGTGAAATCGATATCCTTTGTAAAGAAATGTAGGGAAAGCATAACAGTGTTGAAAACCTGTATTGATGAGCTCTTTTACCTTCGCCTGCAACTCAAGTAAGCGGAAAAAATATTTCTGGTCATGCACTGGACTGGTAACATCTTCCATATGCATACACCTGTGAATTTAATTCATGCATTGAAAAAACTTCATTACATTTTATAATATAATGGAGAAGATCAGTTTACTCAAGGGTATGTGAAGGTTATTTTATGAAAACACACTGCGACAGCAGTCACCTTATCACCACTCAAACACGGAGTCCCGCCTTGTTAGTACACATTTGCTTTTTTAGTCTAAAGTCGCAATCTGGACAAGGGTTAACACAAATACTTTCTATCTGAAACACACTGCTTTACCGTGTCTCCGTTTCTTTAGTTGAAATCCGGAATCCAGGTACAAATAAATAACTATGAAGTTTTACATGCATTCAATACAACTATCAAACAATGTAAATGAGATCTGTTTTCACATTGTCTCGGAAATGGCACTGAATCACGATGAGAGAACATTTTAGGTTATTCTGTACGTCCTCAATAATTACTCCATTCTTGCAAGATGAGATGTGTATGTAAAGTTGTCTATAGTTATGTCAGGATAGTATACTCTATAGCGCGTTGATGTCAGCTATAAACGTGTATGCTCTACTCATTATCATCCGACCTTAACGACTGGCATACGAACACCGAAATGCTATGTTTGTGGCATTGTGTCACGCTAAATTATGCGATATATTGAAATACTGCAACATACGAATACTTAATACTTAAACGGCAATATCAAAAGTATCATTGTTGTCCATGTAGCGGGTACGTTATAAACAGATATCCAACGTTGCTGACCCGACCGTGTAATACACTAGAACAGGGTTGAACAGATATAAAAAAAACACATCGGTCCTTGTCACAGAAGATATGTTTTATTTGAAGAAAGTTTAAGATTATCGTCAACAATTGAAACGGCTGTTAATCCAAGACAATGTCCATACCAAAGACAAGACACGTTTAAAATCACAATCTCCTAACTATGTCTTACGAACTATCTGGCGAGTTTGGGCGATAAAATTATTTTTCAATCATGCTAAATGCATATGAATTAGATATAATCTACTTCTTACATACATGTATGTATAGCATTACACATTCAAATTGTTGCTTAAAGTTCACTGGAAGTTATTTAATGGTATGTGCAACGCATCTTAATGACTATGAGCGTGTAATAGGTTCTATCAGCCAAGTATGATTAATTGATTAAGATGACAGTAGAGAAACTGTGAAATACATTACATAACATACTGATGGTCAAACTTGTCGAATCTCATAAACCGAAGTTTCACATTCGTTTCAAATGCTGACATATTTAAAAGCTACATTATACACACACAAAATAATGTATTTGAAATATTCTGTCTAACAATACATGTATTATATTGTAGAAGATATATAAATGATATAAAATGTAATGTGCTTGACACGAAGCAAGGAGGGACATCTAACGACGAGGTATGAATAAAGAGTCGGCTTATAGCCAGTTTGACATACAAACGTGTATGCACACACGCCGAACTCAATTATATGTAGGACATTTGCTGGTAGACAGACATTAAAGGTATCATTTGCCTCGGAATGCATTATTAGCTTCCAAAGTTTAATTGTTCTTGCCTTTTTACAAACTACTCACACACAATTATTCACATTTGTGTTTGTGTCAGGGTATTAATTGCGACACAAAGCTTGATGGTTTCAAATTGTTATCAATATGCCATTTTCGTGTATTCCCAGAATCCATTTATAATGTATACATCACATGCACGTGTTCATTAAACCTCCTTAACCTCGACAACTGTAAAATCGCCATCAGGGAACCATCACGTCATGTATACTCCAAAATAATGCCAGTCCCTGTCATGTCTCAGTGGATTCATCCCTGATACTTTCACCATCAGCTGATCACCAGCGTCCAGCTGCACCAGTCCATGAACATCACTGGAGTACTCCAGACTTGCTCCATCAATGATGCTGTTTTTGTTCTCGCTGATGACATTCCCCAATACTGCTTCTGCCTCTTGCTTCAGTGCACTGTACCGTGTTATATTATGATGAAAATCAGACTCAGCATCGTCATGATTATTTCTTTCTGTGTAAAACTTGATGTGGCTATATACGGCATATACTCCAGTGGCGGGCACTGTGATGCTGCCATTCTTATACTTCATCCCGTTGTACAAAAGTTGTCTCCCAGGTCCGACAAAAGGTACCCAGTTTCTTAATGGTGTGTCTGTTAGGGTGTCATCTGAAGAATCAATATCAAACTTAGCAGAAAATATGAATAATAGATTTGTACAAACCTGACTATCCAATGGTTCTGGCCATGGAGTAATTTGGTAAAGAAAGTAATTATAAAGAAAAGTTCCAAATATATCTGACAGTGTCAATATATACGCATCTGCAACAAATTGAAGAGATATTTTCACACAAACAGGGAGCGTGTCATCAAAATATGTTATCTTCACATTAATATCATTACCAAATTAGCTTTCTCTATAATGAAAACAATTATCATTGCAACAGAACGTTTAACATTCTGGTGAACGTGTTTCTCGTTTTTCATTTTGTTGTATTCAACTCACTTGTCCGTGTAAGACTGGGCATAGAAATGGTTGTCACGTGTTCCATGTATATCTGCAACACATGACAGAATGGATAACAGTGTGATGTGCAGAATAAATAACAAAAGACCAACAGTCCAGACACATGTACGTTACTGTTTATTCATTCCTTCTATAATTTATTATTTTCCTCCTCGCCAATAGTACAATTTGAATATAAGTAATATATTTATGAAATATTATGAGTGAAACGTACATCCTTAAGTTTTTACTTACATTGTCGATTTGTTCCTTTGTAAGCTGACCATGTGATTGCTTTTCGGTTTGTCGTGACACCATTTGACATGCTGCAATTCCTACAGCCATGTTCAAAATAAATATGGAAGCAAATCATACGTTTGTTCATAATGAATGCTAGACTGTAACATCACATGCTCCTATCTGAAACAAACAACAAGCCAATTAGAAACCTAATCGACTCCTGATTTGTCGCAAATGTTGAAGAATGGCGGACCTAGTAGTCAGTTCGAGCTTGTATTTTCTTTGATCTGTTTAATACAGGCATGTGGACAAGTCTGAGCGTGAAATGATAACAATTGTTTAATATATGACGTGTGGTAACGTTTAATCATATACACACGCGCGCGCACATATACTTCATAGGTGAGATTCACTAGTGTACAGTAGCACATACATATAAAGATATTCACACAATAATGGCACAACGGAAATTCTATTCCTATAGATTTTAATGTAATTGCAACTGAGAAGTGCACTCATATATGTATATACATGTATATTTAAAAATTGACTTTCACTTTGTGTGAGTTCAATGGAGCATGAACCTTCAGAGAGTGTGGGCCAAACTGTATGAACGTCGGCGCTTTTTTGTGTCACCATTTTGTACGTCGATGGATGAAGTTCCAAACACACTTTTAAACAGTACGTGTGCCTTCTTGTTTACACTGGCAGCCATACAACAGCCATCTATATCGCGGAATGACGTAGTTCCTCAAAAGGAGAGGTGATATGAACGTATGTGTGCTTGCATTGTTCTACAGAAACATCTTTTGAAATATGTTTACAAGAATTATATTCAAATGATATCGTAATTAGATGTAAAAGGTTTGTTAAAAAGTACCCAATTAAGACAGTCACAATGCAAGTTATTTACATCAAGACGTCAAAATGTGAGACGCGATAAGAGTGACGGGAAACATTTGTTGATGAACCTGTGGCGATTACAAGACAAGAATAAGTCATCTTTGATCAATTAGCCGTATTGAAAGGTGATTGTAAACATGTGATAAATAAATACGTAGGGGAATTCACTGATTGCTGTGAACTGTATCTGCCAGCCTTGACACGGATCGAGTCGATATCTATGCTACGATAGCTTGGATGTGCATTCCGCACACTTTCATAATGTTTGCAAAAACGCTGTTTTGACGGTCAAGATTAAACGGTCGAACTCACCAGCAACAACGCTTCTGCATGTATTCGTGCAGGGGAATTACCAGAGTTACCTCAGGAATGTGAAGTATTCCGTCAGAGTTTATGTCATGAATGTAGTCTCGTGAAAAAAACCGTATGAACGTCAAAATGTGTCGGTCATAAGCTTATGAACGTCAGATATATATAGTAATAGAGAGAGATTGTGTGTAATGTGAGGTATATATATATAAATATATATATATTATATATGTATACTATATATATATATGCTCGTAGTGTTATTGATGTGTTCGTAATAAACAGAAAGAAAACAAAACTATATGATGATCTGTTAACAAAAAAATATCTATCGATAAGACACTCTTAATCAACTCATGTTGTCAATATTAAGATATGTACTGCTCACTGCTCACTGCTCACTGCCGAGAATAGTTGTTGCACGGACAGTCAACAAACAAACGCTTAGTGATATCGGAGATGGACTTCCCCTTCACAACCAGGTTTCTCCATTGCGTCGATTTATTATGACCCGGTAGTATGTATCATCCAATGAACATGACTCACGATTCTAAAACGAATGATGATTGTTATCTTATCAACTGAAGAGGACTGACTCACAGGAACTCGTAATTGGTCAGTAAATAAAAATATATACCCCTTATGTAAGTTCTCTACTTACATATAGGGGGTATATATTTTATTTACTGACCAATAACGAGTTCCTGTGGACCGACTCCGTGGTCTCGTGGTGGAACGTGTACCCGGAGACCAGAAGGTCGGAGGTTCGATCACCGGTCGCGTCATACCAAAATGATAAAGAAAGAACTTCTTGTAGCCTGCATCAAGGGGTTAAAACGAGGATTGGTCGGCTCGGAGTCAGTTTACAATCTCTGAGTGGGGTATCCATGTGAAACTGCGGCATGGTATCTCAGTGGACTAGTACTATAAACTCGGCATTAGTCAAGACTAGAACAAACACACACACACACACACACACACACACACACACACACACACACACACACATCTTGCATGTACGTCGTTATATACGTACATTAAAGCCCATTTCACCTCACCTTTTGAAGGGTTCTCTTCGGTGCTAATAAAACATCTGTATTTTTAGGGAACCGTGCCCTACCTCACCCCCTTGCAAAAGAAAATAGCCATACCATTCTATGCAATCGGCTTACTGGAACGCTTCTTAATGATAATTCATTTGTAATGGGGACACTGGTCGCCACCTTGTACAAGACAGCGTTGTGTTTCGCTGGAAGAGTTGTATCCCTCGGACGTACCAGACGTGTAGGACGTCCCCCAGACGTGTTCATGTAAATCTGCATCTCTGTTATCGTTGTTTATGTAACTGAGACATACATACAGTCATTATAATACGGTCGTGTCAAATGTCAGCCAGGACTTCCCCGGGAATATCAGGGTGCGCTTTAACTATACCTAGGAACATCTAACAGATTGTGACCCGGAGATATTTACTCATTTAGTGAACATGCGTCACGACTGTGAAACGAATGACGATTATAATCCTATAATCTATTCAAGAGTCTCATCAATACATTCAACAATTCTGTAAGGTTTAAAATCCTTGAAAATTCGTAAAAAGGAAGATGCATTTGTTTCTGTCCATCTCTCATTTACTGCGATCTCTGACTGCTACTATTCGGATAACGATAGTCTATTTGTTCTCTTTCTAATTTAAACTTGGACCGTTACGCACTCAACAAGGTTCTTCATATTCCATTAGCACACCCATCAAACAGTTACCAGTGCAATATTGTAAGATAATAATATGTCATGTAGCTGAAAAAATGAAACCCCTTTATTCTAAAAATATCACATCAGTAGCCATATTGTAATAATTTATTGTTTTCAATAGAAAATAACCATATCCAGCTGAGCAACCATCTTCTGAATGATAATTCTATTAGTGATGGGGCAACTGGTCGCCAACTCGCCTATGTCTGTTGCTGAGCAGTGTTGTATGCCACAGGCGTGACAGAACCCAATGATCTCAGATTCTTCATATTACGCAAACCTATTTCAGCACTATGCTACACTTTCGAAACTTTCCCCAAAATGGGAGTGTCTAGGATATGCCTCATTTTATGATTTCTTCCCCGTCAATTTGACTCAACGTGGTGTTTCTCTAATATTAAAGCAGAGTTAAACATCACTCAGTCACACTATTAAATGGATTCATCAACAAGTATCAACCAAGATGATACATTGATTCATTTACTAAGTCAGGGATTGATATCAGTATGGGTAGCTTTCTGTATTAGCTGTGTTAAAATATGAGGAAACTTGCATTAGTAATAGATTTAATGCAGAAGTTATGCTAGAGCATAAGACTACGTCTATCGCATGTTGAGAAACCTCTCATCTCAAAGCCCGTCCCACACGTTAGATATACACTGCACTATTCGGGGGCAACTTTGCCTCGCTCTCGCATAACCTGCAGGTGAGAGGCTCACACTAACAACGCGTGAATTTAGGGCCGCTGAGGCTAATGTGATTGCAAAGCGTGCAAAGTCTTCCTGTGTATCCGATTAGAGAAGTATGACATGCTACTCCAGCTTTTGGGTCAACATGACCGCGTGATTATATCATATCGTAATATCCAAAATGAGGTTAAATCTTTTCTGTGTCTTGTCTCTGACGGTCGCCCTATTCACCGCCACTGACGTGTTCTTGTGATGGGTTTTGTTCACGTGTGTGTGTGTGTAGGTTAGTGGCTGCTTGTACTAGTCCAGACTGATGCCGATTGATAGTACTAGCACACTGAGATACCACGCCGCAGTTTGACATGAATACCGCGCTCAGACACAGTATACTGACTCCGAGCCGACCAGTCCTTGTTTTAGCCCCTTATTGCCGAGCGCCAGACAGGGTAACGACAAGTACCATCTTTTAACGTCTTTGGGTATGACGCGGCTGGGGATCGAACCCAGGACCTTCCGCTCTCCGGGCGGACGCTCTACCATTAGACCACGGAGGCGGTCCGCTTATGGAAAGGGAATGGGCTCTTCAAAAACGGTTTTACCTCTATATAATCAAGTTGAAGTATCGTTTGTGATTATTAACATTAAATATAATTCTTGACAGACCTTTGTGTTTCAAGGCCAATACAGGAGACCAGTGTTACACAGGGATGATGGTCATTGTTGACATACAATAAATATCTTAATGCTAGGTTTTAATAACATATTTGTTTGGGCAAAATAAACCCCCCGTATTTGTTGATTATATTGTAAATATATATGACTCTGTGGTGAGACTCCAAGATCAAGTTCAAGCCGAGGCAAAACATTATGGCATGAAGGTTCAATTTCCAAATCTAAGGTTGTTTCAGTCTACAGGATTGATGTGATCAAGCAAACTGAAAAACTGGTGGTTTTCTGGTAACAGTTTGGAAACAGTAACTGCTCACAAGAACCTGGTTGTAATGTTTGCCCCAAAGCTGTCAAAGAAGCATGCAAACCATGAGAAAAGACATTGAATACCTTAGTCAGATTTGGAATAACAGCTGAATTGAGCCTAACCTGCTTCTGTTGTCTGTTTGATAGCATGGCTGTCCCAATATTTAGTTATAGATCCGCTGTGTGACATGGGAGGAGGTCAGTGTAAATTAAAGTGTCGACTTGAAGTTTTACAGACTATTCTCAGGTGTAAACAACAGCTCTACGAAGCTGTCAGTGGAGAACTTAGTAGTTGCCAGCCTTCGCTGACCACATGTGCAATGAAGTAAAGTCGTGGTTAAAGTTGTTACATATGGCCATCACCAGGTATCCCAAAGCATGTTATGAATGTTAATACCACCTTGATAATAATGAAAGGGAGACATGGCCCACGCGTGATAAACCGTTGATGAATAATTTAGAATTTGGTGTGGCATG